GGTAAGTGGTACTAAGTTTAGTTACCTGGTTACTTAGTAACGTAGTTAGTTACCACAGTCGCTTTTGCTGCTCCTGAGACACCGACGTCATGCGGTTTTACGAAGAGCTACCATTTTTTGAAACACCGAGGACCACGTCCTAAATGAATGTCCCAGCTACCACTCCCTCCGGTCCAACCTCTGACAACCTTAAAAGCCTCATTATGCTCAAAGAATATGGGGCCATCGCATGAACTCATTCCATGCAACAGAATTTGGAAAGTACCTCACAGAATCCTCACACCTTCGAAATCCTCCTAAAAAGAAGTCCTAGTCATCACTTCCCGTTTCCTACTCATCTTCATTAACGCGTCTATATGACTTGTTTCCTTTTTCTTGGCATTCCTAGAACACATTGCACAGCCTCCATTCTTTTTTACTCATATTTAAATTATTATATTCGATTTTGTTTCTCTTTCGTGAGATTGTAACGCAGTTAATTTAGGTTGTATATCTTTTACGGTTTTTGCGGAAAGTCGTGTTAAATTTGATGCCATGGTGTCAGTAAAGTGGTACGGATATATATTATATATATCGTCTTTCTTTATATAATATATTATAGTATAAGTAAGATATAGTATATAGTAAGATAGCTGGTACAGAACCTTCTTCTTTTGATTGGTCGGCGTCGACAGTAAGCCTTCCTAGTTCCTTACGGTGGCTTTCACAACGCGTCCCCATTTCCTCAACTTCTGCTGCTGGAGAGAGAGCCTCCCAAATTATATACCATAAATACATAGATATCGACACTAGAATGACAGGGGGCAGCCTGTTCTATCGAGTACCCGGGAGAACATCTAGGCATGGGTGGTGTTTTTCCGTGAACGAGCATTATGACAGTTTCCCTAACGGGAAACGTCGCTCACCAGGCTTTATCCTCTGGAGGGGCGGGATCACTAGCCCATGCCAAGTGACCCAAACCTACTGACACCTACAACCAGAGGAACCCCAATAGACGTAAGTCACTAATGACGGACGTAGCCTCCCAATAGGGAGGTAAAGTGGGTGCCCCATCATTAAAAAAAAGAAAAGATATCGACAACAGACTCCGAGAGTCTCGAAGTTTTGTTACCACGGCCCCTGGTGCACCCGCCGGGTTAACGACGAGGAGACAGGGAATTCCAGGGACGGTCAACTCCTGTTAATCTGCAAGTTGTCCTAGGTGTGTTAGTGGTTAAAAGGATCTTCGAAAAGATCCTCCTACTGGTACACTGTACTTGTAGGAGGATCTTTTCGAAGTAATATTTCTAAAGCTAAACACTTGCACAAATGACTGGATAGTTTGCGAATAAAGGTGCAAATGTTTCTGTACCAGGTACAGAAACATTTGCACGTTTAGTCGCAAACTATCCAGTCATTAATGCAAGTGTTTAGCTTTAGAAATATTACGTTATTAGATAAATTAATATCGTGTCGTGGGTCTCTTGGCATGGAGACGAACAATACATTTTTCTATTCTATTTTATTTCATTTCTATTATAATTGATTATTTCTATGCCCCTCAGGCCGTCTTAATATTACAACCAATGTTTCACCAAAATATCTGTATGCTAATGTTCTGCCATATTTTCAAATTACCAATTGTTTGTACGGATTATCCTTATCAGAAGATGGGGTTTCCGCAGATGTGACTGTATTTCAGGGACAAAAGGATTTCGCGGCATGTACGAAATCGCGAAATTTCCCATTCTCCGCGACAAATTTTATGTATAGTTTAATGTATAGCCTGTTAAATTTCGCGGTACCGCGATTTTTGGCCAAAATAATCGCGAAATCCTTTTGTCCCTGCTGTATTTAAGTACTTTTCTAAGAAATTCAAACCATGTGTTTATAAACTGGATTATTTACAATTATCTTTTATTTTTTATTTACACAACAGTTGCATGCTAATTTTGTTGTATGGTTCATTTTCATTAGAAGATTATTCTCATAAATTAAAACTATAATTTGTGATTTTTAGGCACTTACCGGGAAACGTTGTCAAGTCTCAAAAGTCGACAAAACACATTAGAAAACTTAGCGGGTACAGTTTAATGTAAATATACAGGGGAGGGGAATTTTTAGAGGCCACGCCCAATTAACATTGAATCGCTTATACGCGTGTTTGTGGACATGTTCCATTCTATCATTTTTACTTATACTCAGCAGTGTTTAAACTAGTCATCCCAGAAAATAACATGAATACTAAGTTAAGAAAGGTATCTTATGCTTGAAAATATATCGTCAATACTAATATTGACTTTAATATATAATGGAAATGCAAATGTACATATTATATACTTAATCAAACTCCGTTACATGTGCCACCCTGGCCTTGTTTACTTAGTTGTTTTTTTACTTAGTTGTCTTCTTTATATAAGTTTGTTCGTATGTCGCCTGGATAAATCATGCTCTAGAGCTAGTTGTGGCCATCAGATCTACTGTTACAACTCTTTGTGGTGGTTCATGGGACTTATATGGACAACATATTCATGCACAGAAATGCTTTTGGAAAATTAGTTACCAGAAAATATTCATGATGCCCTAACAAGAGTAACTGGAATTTTCGTTTAACTTCTAGCTTATAACATAAGTTAACCAGGTGCCACCAGTCCATACCCTGGCTCGGTAATATGAAGACTTGTTTTAATTCCAAATGAAAATCTCGAATAAGTTAAATACTTAATAACTAGTCATCTTATATATAAAATATGTCAAGTTTGAATGCTAAATATATTATGTTATGTTTGTTGACGAATTTATATTAACCTGTAGCTTGACTGGATTGATTAAAGGTTACGTTTTTTTCATAGTATTATCAGGATATGTTGCAATATCCTATAACTTCACATAATGTAGACGAATAAAAACGGTGTATCGACAAATTGATCATGAAATGACTTTCATTTGTTTATTTATTTGTTGTTATTTTATATCCGTCAAAGTAAAACGACCACGTTGCATTTTGCGATACTATCGGGCTTTTTATCGGGCTTTTTGTCGGACCTTTTCACAAAATTTTGTATGTGACCTTATATCACCTCATTATTTTCCGTTTTCGCAAAATTCTGTTCGTGCCCTTGTATCGCCTCAGTATTTTCCGTTTTCGCAAAATTCTGTTCGTGCCCTTGTATCACCTCAGAATTCGTGACACCAGTATTTTCGGGTGGTGTCTCCAGTCGTTTTCATGACACTGGCACGCTACAGAATTAGTTTTCCATCTCCCCTTTTAATGTTTACTGGTCATCTGGTGTTTCGGTGTCCCTAATTTCGTTTACACTTGGTCACTTGTCAAGGCAAATTATAGAGGTCTCACGGCGAATTTTCTTTATAAATATAATAAATCGATGTACTACTTCGTGTAACAATTTGAAAGTCGATTGATAAAATAAGGGCAGTCATTCTCTTTGTTGCAGTAACACAAGTCTTTGAGATCTGTTTGTTTGATTGGGCAGTTCACCAGAAAATGTAACGCCTTAAAATGTATTTACAGTAATCATAGAAAAATATAAAAGCGTACAAAAATCATAATCATGACGTACGTAAATCGTGAATGGGGAGCACTCCTAGCGACTCCATAACGCTTTGAAATAAGGTTCCTTATCAAAATTCAAATTAAAATGAGATAGGATTTAAAACAGAGTTGAAAAATACGTATTTTACGAATTTTATAAAATATCAAAAATACGTTAAATACGGCGTATTTTATTTTCATTGAATAAAATACGTAAAAAGTGTTATTGTACCATTGATAGCTCCAATATAGTAATAAGTACTATTGCTTTATATAAATTTACGATTTTATCAAAACTCGCGTAGCTCTGTCGTTTTTCACCTCGCATATGACTTCAGAGTACTGGGCACGTGCTATACCAAAGCATTAAAGCGTTGAAGTTAAGGAGAAATGTGTCTAAAAAAAATGCAAACGAATGACATAACTTTAGTCTTTGAATGAAATTTCAAGAAAAACGTATTTTAACGTATTTTTGACGTATTTTATTTCTAAGCAAAAATACGCAAAATACGGCGTATTTAAAAAATTATCTCACGTATTTTTCAACTCTGATTTAAAAGAATTTATATAATAGGATTTAAAATATTAATATGGGATTTAAACTATTATAAAATATTATTATATATAACATAAGATTTGGGTCATAGATCAGACAAGGCTGGTCGGTCGGAGGTCGGTCGGAGGTCGGTTGGGCGCCGGTCGGCGGTAGGTGAACGCCGGTCGGAGGTCGGTCGGAGGTTGGTCGGAGGTTGGTCGGAGGTTGGTCGGAGGTCGATCGGGCGCCGGTCGGGCGCCGGTCGAGCGCCGGTCGGAGGTCGATCGGAGGTCGGTCGGAGGTCGGTCGGAGGTCGGTCGGAGGTTGCAAAGGGGAGGCCTGCCTTCCGAGATCACATTACCAGGGGGAGCCTCGAGTCCAAAATTATTTCATAGAATGGTCGCCCGACCTACCTCCGACCGACCTCCAACCGACCTCCGACCGGCGCCCGACCAACCTCCGACCAACCTCCGACCGACCTCCGACCGGCGTTCACCTACCGCCGACCGGCGCCCGACCGACCTCCGACCGACCTCCGACCGACCAGCCTTGTCTGATCTATGACCAAGATTTGTCCAACATTAGCCAAATTAAAATGGGTATCATAAAAACGTTTGGAGTTCCCGCCAATGTGGCTGAACTTTTATGAGAAATTCTAAGAAATTCAAACCGTTTATTTGTTAACGGATAGCTCGCCGTTATTCTTGCCAAAAACAGTATTTTTGTAATCCTCTGAGATTTATCTATTTCTAACGTCAGCAAACCTCAATATTTTGTTGTGTTACATCACTATTTTGATATGACGCGTGACTATCGACTAAGTAGCAAGTGATGCCTATATGAGGCAATATCTAACTTCACTATGCCCATATAAGGCAATATTTAACCTCAATATGCCCAAATAAGGCAATAACTAATCTCAATATTTTCTAGGGACACATGACGGGGACTGTGACCGCTTCAGCTCGAACATGTAAAGTAAGTAAAGGTTTAAATATTCTATTTCGTTAGTTAACATTGGTTATACTGTTAATTAAGTATCGAAATCTTCTTAGATAAAATAAGTAAAATTGAATTTTTTTGCTGAATAAGCACACAATTTATTGTTCTGTAAAGTTGGTAAAGTTTTGCACTGTTTTAAGTTGCATGTTCAGCTGAGCATTTTCTCGGAAAATTCGCAAATTAGGTACGTGACAAATATGTGAGATAAGATAAATATTACTTAAATTTGTTGTTGAATTTTATTGATATTCTCGGTAATAAATTCCGCCTAATTTTATCCATGATAAAAAACCCTCATGACAGTAGATTACGTTTGTGCCGAATCAGCCGAAATATTTCTGCAGAAATCTGAAAAATCTGAAAAATTTCAAAACAGACAATTTCAACTTTCTACGACAAATACTTGACAGTTAAACTCGACCCGATCGAAAATCTGTATGTTTTGTATAAATCCTTAAAAGACAAACAAATCGTTTCCATCTTGCCTACTTCAGGAACTACTTCATTTCAGTACTTCATTTCAGCCGAATTTAAAGAAAAAATACATCGCCATTGTTGACCTAAATGCGCTTGCATTTTTCTTCAATAGCTCAAAAAATAAAAAAATCAGATAAAACCACCCAATTTCGAAGTCCGCTCAGAATATGAAACCCACGACTCTCCTTACTACTTCACAGTGGCCTAATGTTGCCTGTAACATTGCCCCCCCCCCCCCCCGCTGAAAAAGTGCCCCCCGGTCCCTCTTCTTTTGGTGCCCCTCCCTAAAATTGAACAAATTAGATGATTTTAGAGGATACACCGGTCAAATCTCTAAAAAAGTGTGTTTCTAGAGCAAAACGTGCAGTTTTGTTAGTACCGTAGTTAAGCTTTTTGATATTTTCCCACATTCAAACGACGATTTGGCGCCCCCTAAGATGGCGCCCCCCCCCCCCCCGTTACGCCACTGATACCTCATCAAATTATTCAGTTATACACTTATAATATAATTCAAAGGGAAACAAGGCCTTATTGTCTAAATTCATCTTGCTGGAAGCTCGTCACGCCTGGAGTGACCTTTTACGGTGTACACACTAAAATAACTTATAATATAACTTAATCACCTGATCGGCATTCATTATTATTGTTGTCAATACTTTCATTATGTTTTTTCCTTTCTATTCGCTTGTTTGCTTCAGCAAATTTTCCGATCACTAAATTTTTCACATGATAAATCAAACGTCACTGATCGAGAAACGTGAGTCACCGCACCTTATGCTTGGAACATACACTAAGATGACGTCATATAAGTTAGATTTGGCCAATAACTCCAAAATTAGGCATTTGTGGTATTTTTGCCCCATAAGTTGTACGTTAATGTGGCTATTGCAGTCAATTTGAGCATATTCAAAAGTATCTAAGATGTGCAGAAGCTGAGGTAACTTTATTAAATAAAAAATTTGAATTATATAATACACATTGGTGCGTGGCCAAAGGGGCGATTGTCCCAGTCTGAATTTTTCGGCTCAGTTTATTTTCGTTCTGAAGATCTTGGAGAGACCCCAAATATTCGTTCAGCCCTGTACAATAAAACACAGGTCAATGTGCAATGTGCATAAATGACCACACTATAGATATGACGGATACATCGTGCCAATGTCTACATTGTCAGCTACATTGTCAAACTGAACCGCTACTATAATCTCATCTCAATAATAATCTCAAAATGTCTGTCTGTCTGTCTGTCTGTCTGTCTGTCTGTCTGTCTGTCTGTCTGTCTGTCTGTCTGTCTGTCTGTCTGTCTGTCTGTCTGTCTGTCTGTCTGTCTGTCTGTCTGTCTGTCTGTCTGTCTGTCTGTCTGTCTGTCTGTCTGTCTGTCTGTCTGTCTGTCTGTCTGTCTGTCTGTCTGTCTGTCTGTCTGTCTGTCTGTCTGTCTGTCTGTCTGTCTGTCTGTCTGTCTGTCTGTCTGTCTGTCTGTCTGTCTGTCTGTCTGTCTGTCTGTCTGTCTGTCTGTCTGTCTGTCTGTCTGTCTGTCTGTCTGTCTGTCTGTCTGTCTGTCTGTCTGTCTGTCTGTCTGTCTGTCTGTCTGTCTGTCTGTCTGTCTGTCTGTCTGTCTGTCTGTCTGTCTGTCTGTCTGTCTGTCTGTCTGTCTGTCTGTCTGTCTGTCTGTCTGTGTCTGTGTCTGTCTGTCTGTCTGTCTGTCTGTCTGTCTGTCTGTCTGTCTGTCTGTCTGTCTGTCTGTCTGTCTGTCTGTCTGTCTGTCTGTCTGTCTGTCTGTCTGTCTGTCTGTCTGTCTGTCTGTCTGTCTGTCTGTCTGTCTGTCTGTCTGTCTGTCTGTCTGTCTGTCTGTCTGTCTGTCTGTCTGTCTGTCTGTCTGTCTGACTGTCTGTCTGTCTGTCTGTCTGTCTGTCTGTCTGTTTATGTCTGTCTGTCTGTCTATGTCTGTCTGTCTGTCTGTGCGCGTGTAATTTCCGAGCGAATTAATCCAGAAAACGTTAAGAGTTATGGGACTGGTGTTTTTGGCATAATTTCGATAAAACTCTGACGAAGCCAATTTAAAAAAAATCGGCCGGTGGTAAGTGGATTTATTGATGGTTGTACCGCAAATGTGACATAAAATGGCTCACTTTTTCTCCCTCTTCGCTCTCTCTCCCATTACTGCATATGCAGCATTGGTACATGAATCACAATTAGGTTATTTGGCAGTGTATCAGCCGCAAGATTCACTGTCATGTAATACTATAAGCTTACTAGGAGGGGGCACTCATTGCGGTCTGTTTGGATTATAGAGAGAGTTCATACTTTCATACGACAATATAATTTGCGTGTTTCCGAATATAATAGGTGGGTTTATACTTTTGCAATTCAACTGCGATAGTGAAGACCCGGCCGTAGGCACGGGTTACACTAGTATTATTATATTACTATGATAATATTATGTTCTCATGACAGCCGAAATGGGCCGCTATTATATTCTCTCATGTTTTGACTTATTGACTCTGTTCTTACTGGACAGCATTGCAATCCAGTGACAGTTGTCTCAATATTCATTACTCATCTGTCATTATTCATCTGACATACATTGTTTTAACTATTAATTGTCAAGTACATATAATTAATTAAGTACATATAATTAATCAACGTAATACTCACTGGAATGTACTTTCCGTCTGAAAAAGTTTCCGTCATTATAAAAGATAAAAGAATACACGCTTGGCTAAACTGGATAATAAAACCATTGAGACCTGACAACAATACTGGTCACGTGATGACGATACTGATAATTCCACAGAGCACTCACTTTTCACAGAGACAAGCTTCATAATTATAATATGTATACATGATTATAATATATAAAGAAACTGTTATATATTTATATAGTTTCTCTAAAATTATAACTAAGGGTTCTTCTTCCTGTCATTTGCCACTGTTGTAATATCCAGCATTCTCTGAAGTGACAGTCAGCAGCAATGTCACGTGACGTCACGTGACGGCTGACTAGGTCACGTGACAACCCATATTACAGTTGATCCTCTCATTTGTCAGAGAGACATCTTATCAAATAAAGCGACATGTTCGGGACCTTATTAATTGTTCACGTGTGCAGTGTGGTAATCTTGATAATGAGAATGTAATAAATTTTAGAAGCCTTCCTCTAAATAACGTTTAGAGGCCTATCTCTCTAATATAAAGGGAGTTTTAGAGGCCTCTCCCTCATTTAGAGGGAGATTTAGAGGTCTCTCTATCTAAATGTTCCTCTAAATCTCCCTCACAATCGTTAACGCTCACTCTTAAATTAGACATTTCTTTTCTTGAGAATTTGTTCGCTTATGCTATGGAGTTCTACAGAAAGTTCTGAAGAAAGCATTAACAGTATAATCAAATCCTTTGCTTGAACAGACGTAGCCGCACTCAACCAATCAGCGCCCTCATGATGTGCCACGTGACTGTAGCCTAGCTCACGTGACACCACAACTGAGAGCACGTGACCTGGATTGTGATATTATGCTGGGGCTCTGGTGGACTGGTGGTGTCTCTGCTGTCTCACTATCCTTCAGTTGCGGGCGATATTTGGTAGCTCAGCCTTGTTACTCGCCCAGTTACCAACCATTATAGTTTATTAGGTTTATTAGTATTACTTATTAGCATTCAGATTGTGATTAGTTACAGTATAACCCCTGATTAACCGCGCCCTGATATACCGATTAAAAAATCGGGGCTGATTTACCGCGCGCATTCCCTTTCCCCAAATAGGGCTTAACATATATATATAATGCACACAAACAATAACCTCGATAATTAGATTTATTAGTGAATTGTTACCAATCATTACGATATTAGGTTTACTAGTAATTAGTTACCAATGCAACTGTATAGTTGGCTATCAGGTTATTAGTGATCACTTATTGATTACTAACTATTAGCTTGTTAGGTTTACTCGCCTAGTTACCAGCTATTATGTTATTATGTTTTTAAGCGATCAGTTACCAATCATTAGGTGATTCGTTACCGGTTCAACGTTCACTGCTAATGCCTAATACATATTATAATCTGAATTTGAGATTCCGTGGTCGAATAAATTTTGTTACCTATAATATTATATATATACTAGAAAGCCCGTGGTAACAGGGACGAAGCTAGTAGAATTCTTTGAAAGAAAGTTTTAATCGCATCAAACAATATCCATTCCAACCAAAGATACAGCCGATTTAAATATAAAACACTTTAAACACAACGTAATTATCACAAAACCGATCAAAATGACGTTAAAACAATCTTTGCACGTGCATGTGTGCATTAAAACACCGTTGCTATGGAACCTTTTGGTTGTTACCTAAATTCCTATTTTTCATCTAATTTGCACGTGGGCGGTCGTACGTACATACAGCAGAAATAATTTTCTGAATTATAGTAGAGATATATATATATATATTATATTATGATTGCATAATTTATTGTCACTTTGTTGTATTTCAGTATATAATGTGCATGTGCTCCAA